ATTATAACATTGTGGTACTAATTATAAGTGTAGTGGCTCAGGACTAGACATGCGCGCCGAGCAAGAATTCGGCGGCGGCGGCGCGCCGACCCATTGTGGTCGGCGTGGCGAGGCCGCGCCGGCGCGGCCGTATTTTATTTTAATTTTTATAAACATTTATTTAAAATAAGGTAGTAACAAGTGAAACTTAGACCTGGATAGGAATTCAAATTTAATTTCTCAAAATAAAAACAAACCAAACAAGTTCTAATTAATTATACCTTATAATTTGTGCAAAAACGAAAAAGCACATTTTTTTGTTTCTTGCACAAACTATAGGAAATTAAAATTGTGTTTTTTGCACAATGTATAATTATCATTAATAAAAATAATTTTATTAACGTGTACTGGGCTTAGTCTAGATCTTTTAGCAGTCACAGTTAGTCCCACTATAGAAAAAACGCGCTCACTAGGCGTGCTAGTAGCAAATGTTCTGATCACAGAGTACTTTTTATATACATACTGAAAGTTCTGATACGCGCTCCAGAGACTGTAAAAATTTAATTTGTTCTATTTCCGCCGCTCGCTTCAATTCCGGTAAGCGATACCGAACGATTTTTACGATCTTTTTACATTTTTTTATTGATTTTTGAATTTTTAAATAATTGCATGGTTTTATTGACCCCGCGCCCACGCGCCCGTCCCGCGTTGGTTCACGGCGCGCCGATCGGATTTGTCGGCGCGGCGCGGCGTGGGCAGGGCGCGGCGTGGCGCGGCGGCGCCGGCGCGGCGCGCATGTCTACTCAGGACTCAGGACCTTCGTTTGCAGCGATTTATGGTGCATTGGTATCCATGTTCAGCTCTAGATTTGTGATGCAATGATAGTGATTATTAGAAAACTTGGAAGATTAATTTGATGTGTTTAAGTTTTTTAATTTTTGTATAAAAGATAAATTGAACTTCTTACAATTAAAACACTCAGGCTACAGTAAGATAAGTACGTACTACGTATACATAGTAAAACATATAAATTTAATAATTATTGTTATCTGTCTTAATTCATATTTCATGCATGTGCCATGCATGATTCCAAATAATAGTTGTTTACAGTGCCTATAAACTTATTATTTTAATTATCAAAACTTACCTACAACAACCAAAAACTCAAAGGTCACAACCCTATGCTAGGCTGGCATTAGATACACAAAAGGACGACATTCGGTACAGGGTGACTGGAATTTGAGCCATAACGTCTTTTTTTGCTTATCGTCGTTTTTGAAATTGTTCTCGAAACATTATTGTTCATTACATTTTAATCTATCGATTAAAACCAGTGTTTAAAAATACTGTGCTCTTATCTAAAAAGCACGAATTTTTGAAGTTAAAATTGTCGTTAAAAGGCTGGTAATAGGGGCATCCAACCTACCTACCTACTTGCCCGAAATTTGTGCTGCAATCATAACAGCCGCGGCGTAGAAAACATTTTTATTATTATAATTACCTATATATAGTATGTGTATTTGTTTAGATAGTTTGTTATATTTCCATCAGTCAGTAGCTAACTATTAACATCACCGAAAAACAACGAAACTCCTACGGTCTATATCTCTAAATATAGGTACCGATAAGCTCTAATGGCCCTAGTAAGTTCAACTTGCTGATATACATATTCAAACCTTGTTTTTAATTTATGCTAGTTATTGTAATCATTTGGTCGGGGTCGCGGATTGATCCCGTTTAGAACAAGTTTTTTTATTTATAGGATAAGGGTGACAAACGAGCACACAGTCCACCTGATGGTAAGTGGTTGCTGCGGCCCATAGACATCTAAATCTATCCTCTGTTACAAATCAAAATGTAGATGCGTTGTCACCCGTGAGGACTAAGATGGAATGTCTCATTTCCAGTAAAAAGGGCTTCCGGCCACCTGCACTCACCAAGCGAAACGCAGAGGTAAACCTCTACTTCACGCTGGCTTTCTGTGAGGTCGTGGTACTACCCCGGTTCGAGCCGGGCCATTCGTGCGACAGCAAAAGCTGCCGCGTGGCTCTACCACTGTTAAATGTTTGTATTCATTGATTAATTTCAGCCTTATACAAAAGGATAGGCCTCCCCCCATTGATTGCATTGTATTTCATATTTGATGGATTAGGATTATTTGGAGTTGTTATCAAGAAGATGCTGCAGCATATTTCCTCATGTCACCTCTTACGACACCCAAGTGTTCCGATCTACAATTTGTAAAGGAAGTACCTACTTTCAGGCACAGAATACATAATTAGTACTACGTAGGTACTTCAGGGTATGAAATGTATGAAAAATCGAAACCCATACCTATTGAACCACATGGTTGTCCAATTGTTATGAACCTTGGAGTTGTAAGAAATCTTCAAAGTCAACGTACCTACCTACCTAATCAAACGAATTTTATATAAAATGGACGTGACAAACGAATTTGCAGTCCACCCACGATAGTAAGTGGTTACTGCAGTCCAAAATACCTACGTCAGAAATTATAAACTAGTTAAAAGTTTCGCGATAAAATCCGTAAAATAAGATTTATGCAATCAATTCGTTTCATATTTCTTAGATTGATTTTCTAAGTTTACTCCAGACTTTTTTTTAGAAAACTACATTTGAGACAGTCATTATCGATTGCTAAAATTAGAAGGAATCGTAACATGACCGGCGTGATATTTGTTGCGACTTGCGAGGCTCTATCGCTTGTCGGGCGTATTAACAGGTGATCAAACCAGACGATATCGTTTGCTACAATCAATTTCTGTTTTTGAAGGCCGCTGTGGTGACACTTGCGCCCCGAAATTATACTTGCCAACGCAACAATTCGTGGGGAAAAGTTATATTACATGATTGATAATCCTTGCCCAGTGAATAGACTAATTTTGAATCAATGCAAAGATTTTCATTAATGAATTGTTGTGTGTTAGGTACCTATCAGTAGTTTGCAAAGCCGGTTGCATGCTTCATTTCGATTTAAGTTGCATGTCCACACACCTCTAGGGTTTTAATAAGCACTCTTCATAATCCGAAGCTTGTATCTACGTTCTGCCATATGCAATTAATCGACAGATTTGATGTCATCATTAGCGCCCTTCACAATTCTACTGCTGAACATAGGGCTCCCCCAACGAATGCCACAAAGCACGGTCCTGACCCACCTGCAACCATCGACTTCCTGCATGTCTTACCAAGTCGTCACTGCATCTAGTGGGAGGCCACCCTACACTTGGCCTACCAGTACGAGACTGCCACTCAAGAACCTATTTTCCCCATCGGTTTTGTCAGTTCTTCGAGCTATATAGGAGGCGTATTGCTACTTCAGCTTACTAATCTGTTGGGCTATGTCTGTTACTTTGGTTCTACTGCGGCTATATCCAGATTTAATATTCCGTACTATCAATACACCACAGAGAACGTTTGTACTTAATTTTACAATGTGGCATTGAAGGGTTACAAGTTAAGAAATTTGAGACATTAGAAAAAACCGCTAATACTAGGGGGCAGCTTAGTGTACAAAGCAAGTGCCCTGCCTGCTGTGAGACATATTACTGGCTCTGTAGGTACTTATTTTACACACATACGCCTCTAGATCTTTTTGACTTGTTAGTAAGGAGTAGGCGGCCATGACAAATTGAATTGATGATAAGCTGAATTGTTGCAATTGTATAGTAATAAAAGTAAATGATGTTAACACCGAATACCTACTAAAATAGTTTGATTTATGTACATATCAGTTTCATTTCTGATAGTTTACTGTTCACTGCTGAACATAAAAATTTTAACGTGGTAGAGGCATGCTGCAGCTATATTAATTAGCATAGTTGTAGCACGAATGGGTCGGCTCGACCGGGGAAGGACCACGCTCTCACAGAATACCAGCATAAAAAAGCAGCTTAATGCTGCTGTTTCGTATGGTGAGTGTAGAGAACCGGAGACCTATTTTACTTGAAAAGAGGCATTCTATCTTAGTCCTCACGGCTGACAACGCATCTGCATTTTAATTCGCAAACGAAGTTAGATGTAGATATCTATGGGCCACAAAAACCTCTTACCATCAGGTGGACTGTGTGCTCGTTTGTCACCCTTATTCTATAAAAAATAAATATTATGAAGAATTTTGCCATAGTGGCAACACTTGGCAGACGCAGTTTTTTTTTTGTTATTTACCTAAGTATAGTTGTTATCACGAAGATGCTACTGCCCATATTCGTTTTAATTTCTCTCTGTCTCCTCTTACGGCACATACGACGATATGCAGTAGTGAATATTAGTAAGAATTAATTAATTCGGTTTAAACTGCCACCTAAATTTCCCACAGTACAAAAAAATAATCATGTCTTAAAATCTTTAATAATGATACCTAACACTTAACTCTTCGTTCAGATCAAACATAAAAATCTTCGAAAGAATTATAACAATAAACCTAACCTTGATCCATGTTTTAGATTGAGACGTTTGTATAGTGAATTATTAGAAAGTTTGTATGTAAATGAACTAAACATATTTTGTAACATTGGATGATGCCTATCTTGTTTGTATATATTTTTAATGCAAAACAAATTACATCCAGCTAACATTAGCAGCTAAGAAAAAAAAATGTGTTTCTTACTTTTCCCGACACAATTAACTCACAGGTCTAGAAGTGTAAATACAGATCCTTTTAACCACTATTTAGTTTATCGACATCTTAATTTAGTTTAACTTTATTGTTGGCACTATGCCCTAAACGAATTGTTTTTGCCGCAATACGTGACGATGCGATGTAAAATATCACAAGCAGACAAGGACTAAAAGAATACAATTTTATTTTTGCTCTTGCATAATTAAGAGTTGTTTACAATCACGTAGAAACAGTCACGTGAGTCAGCGTTATTTTTACATAGAGAACATGGAGAACAGGTGGCTAAAAATATCTTCTACTGCGTTAATAATAGAAAAGATTTACATCTACATACCCAAAAAGTAAAAGATAAGCAAAAATAAAATAAAACAATAAAGTACATATAAAAATATTTTATTAAAAACATTTTGGTAACATTTAATAAGAACACTTAGGTAAAAATAAATCGACCTCAAAATTATTTCAAAAGAACAGCCTGGACTGGAAGTTCACGGAGGAAGCCGGAACAGCGAAAACTAAAATAAATAAAAACAATGATAACACTCTAGGCAGACATGTCTAATTGACAACCAGAATTAAGGCATCGCAAGAATAATTATTTAAGTACGATAAAATACCTACGGCTATTATTATAATTACAACAAATAAACGCCTAGTGTTTATCGTTCAGTTGTTTGCGCGCGGACTGAGCGCGCGGCCCTGTACGCAGTCTCTTGGCAGGGAACTTACATCGAGTATTATTGCCACTAACATTATTTCACTTCACTCACGAGACATTTTGCTTGCCACTACGACGTCAATGTACACTACTAAATACTAAAACATCCCAATTATACGAAGCTATGTTAAAATTTTACCTAACTAATAATAATATTAACATCTTCGGCTAATTTTGATACTAGAATGATATAACATCATCTCATATTGTACTCTTAACATTACGCTGGATTAAATAATAAATGAGGAATTAAATGTGTTATACATAATATTGCAAGCATTACTGAGATTGTGCATATTACGTGAATTCATTAAAAAGTAAAATTTGAAAACTTAAGCGTTAAGGAAGAATAGATTGCTTATACTGAAGTCGACAAGGATGGAGGGAGCTCGACTCCGGAGAGCCTGGCTCTTACAAACAGCTATATTAAAGGAACAGTCAAAGATTAAATTACGAGCATTGGCACTTTCAATATTAAATCTTAATTACACTCTCGAAATAGCACTGCATATCAATAACCAACTTAAAAACTAAATTCAGATCAGTCATTTATGATATCACATCAAAATAAACAGGGAAATACATAATGTGATTATCGATTGGATATACTATACAATATATATTATATTCTTTTCAAAAGAGGTATTAATTTTCTTAAGGGTTACTAAAATATTGAGCTGCGCCGAGCGCGACGCACTATATCACCATAATACGAGAACAACATTAAACCAAATAAGTTTTGGTACTTGGAGCTTGTCTCCGAGTTAATTCTATTTCGCTAAACCTACATAATGCTTATCAAATATACCATAATACACACTGGGCCCGCGCCCGCTTACACCGCCGCGGCGTACCTCGACGTTTTCAGCGGACACAATGCCTAGGCAAAAACCCTTCATCCTTATACAATTTTCATTACAAAAATACTGTCATTTGACTACAGTTCAATGAGAAAAAATATTTATTATAAATGTTAATGAACAATAGATGTAATACAACATATATTAATTAGGTATAATATCATGTAAAATGATTTGACTAAACAAAATAAAATGCATAAAATTGAAATGATTAAAACATTATAAAATTACTTAGACACTTAGTAATTGGAAGGTACTAAATTGATTATTTCGGAAAAAATTCATTCAATTAAATAAATAGCACAACAACCAAAATATTTGGCAATGTGGATTTAAAATAACATTAACAACTACTATCCTCCTCTGCTAACTTAAACACAAAACTGGAATGCAAATATTGCATCGCACCTCGGCCTTTCTAGTTCGCACAGGCAGAGGCGGCCGACTATCGGCCGCGGTCACAGGGGCAGACTAAAGTTAGGGACATGTTCACAACAAGAGCTACCTTATAAAACTGTGCGTATCACTCCAAATACTTTCTTTTGAACTACATTCGATCGAAAATTTGTCATATATTAAAGTTAAAAACTAAAAATAATCTGAATGCAACATTGGATTTTCAATAACCATAACAACCATTTTGTGAGTTTGTGTGACTGAGGATATAGCACACTATGTATGCAAATACACTTCTAAACATTTATCAATTGCAGTGTTTAGAAGATATTCCTTTTTTTGAGGCAACAATGGTTAGGGATAGTTGCAATGTATTAATCTTAGCTGCATTCTGAGATCCATGCCATAGGTTCAGTCATGATCCACTGAAACACTACAATAAATATATAAATAATTTTTGTAAAACATTAAATTCATCTAATTGTTATGAGTAAACTACTATGTTCATAGCCAAGTGTATTGATTATTGACAAAACAGAAACTACAATGAAAACTTAGATGAAATGCAAAGTAAATTTAGACCATGATAAAGAAATTGGTATGAAGCTGAATTTTGCTACTGAAAATTATTACAACAGAAATTAATAAAATCAATGAATGGATGTTGGTCCCTTCCAAATTTGCCAAACCTTTAGCGAAGTCCATATCAATATAAAGAAAGTTTTGAAAACTACACTGTATTGTCACATATCAACATTTTTTATAAAAATAACTTTATGGGAAATATGTCAACATTGTGTACAAATACTCCAGTTCCAATTTAAAGCTGATCACAACATAGCAGAACTAAAGTTGCACAAAAGGACAGTATCAATTATTATTATTATTATAGTTAGTATGTTATACATTACTTACACATAATTGAAGAGACTCACACTATTAAATATCTTGACTAAATTAAGAGACCATGGATATTACACTTTAAATATGCATGTACATAGATATATTGCCAGTCTGTTAACGACACTTACTATAATTTCACTACAAGCCCAGTATCTGGGCACATCAATGACTCAAACGTTTTAAAACGGTCTGTAACAACTACTAATACCTTAGAATATCTAATCACTGCAATAATTTGTGATGATATGCACTGATAACCCATTTTTACTGTTATGTATGGGCTTGTCATATAAATAAAATGAGTTATTTAAGCTTTTCATAGAGTTGATAGGAATTTGATTTTTTGGGAAATGTATCAAGATCATACTCTAGATTATGTCATCACTATTATTATGTAATGCTTGGACGGTAAATCCAACGATCATCATAATTAGACCTTAAAATTAACCTATAGCTTGGCTTTAAATTCGTGCCATCTCGTCAAAATCGTAACTTATTATAACATCAGAGAAGCAGCCTTTTGGTTTAAACAATGACGATCCTATTGATAATGACTGTGGAATATATAAAAATCATTATATCTAGAGCCTAATGATTATTATAAAACAATATTTAAATAATAACTATTACATTTAATGGTGGGAAATTTTAACTCATGATGATTAAATAAGTAAATGTCCATAATTTAAATATTGCTTTAAACTTATTTCGGCACAAAATCCAATGATTGAAGTGATCAACCAATTGAATTTTATACTAATTCATATAAATTGTGTAAATCAACAATTTATAGATAATATAATATGAATATTAAAACAAATAGATTCTTTGGATAACAAATCATTAACAATTCTAAAAGGAACTAAGTGTAGTAGCATTATATATTAATATGATGATTTTGTTTTTATAATAATTATTGTTATATCAATGGAAGAGTAAGTTTCAAGTAAGATTTATCCAGTCGTTTTGGAAGGAAAATGCCAAATTCTAGTTAACTGTAATATTATGGCATTGTTTGTATAATATATTAATTAAGCCTAACTGTATCACACAATCAAATAAGTTAAAACAAAAATGAAATTAATTTTATCGTCACACATTTCACAGAATTTTTCTAAAATTGCCTTGTTTAAATTAAGATCACAGTATTAAGTCACATTCAAAATGTAACTCTACGAAATACGTGAGACGATAACCACATTAATATTCCACAGTCATCTGTATTGCTGGGCCACAACAGTGAAATACATAGACAGTAATTGTATTAGAAAAGTCACTAAACCAACAACTTAGATCCATGAGAAGGAACTGTAATGATTTGGTCAAATTATTAGTTTAATATTAATTAAACTATGTCCTAAGTAAAGCAATAATAACTATGTAAATACAAAAATTCCATAATTAGGAAATATTATTATCCTATCATTTTTAAGTTAAATGATGTCATTAAAAGAACTCAAGTCGTTGATTTACTGAATGTGTATGTCAATCTAAGCAACATTATATTACTGATGATAGAAGTCTATATGCACCCTGTTGTGTCCCAGTCATACCCATACAACATTCGTTTGTTCAGAGTTTACGCTGACACATAGTCACTTCAATCTGTGGCGGCCACAACCCATGTGAAGCCACATAAACGGCAAGTGTCTTTTACATACTGTGTGCGTGTTCCAAATGGCCCCAGCCGATGATACTGCGAGCGGTTGGCAAAGAAAAGCGCAGGGTTATTTGGTGGCAGCACTGTAGCACGGTAATTCCATCGAGGATCAGTGAGATTACCCATCAGATTGAGAATATCACGTTGTTCATATTTTACTTTGATATCATCAACCTTCTGCTCTTTAGGACGTGGTTGAGGTTGCAAAAATGATTCAAATATTTTCTGAAATAATAAATGATGAAAGATATCATAAAAGAAAAACAATAGTGTAAAGATAAACATATGTTATATTATAACAGATGTAAAGTATTTAGATAAAATTTAGTAATCTTAGTACATAACAATGTTAATATAAGTTATCTGAGTAAATAAGATCGTAAATAGTCATCATTCATTATTATTAATGTCATCTCAAATTGAATTATAATGATTAACATATTTCAGACCTAGCCTATTGTCTGCGAAATCTTTCCATTATCAAATGTCATAATTTGTACATAATATTGTTAACGTAAGACATTCGCCATTACAGAATATTATGAAAATAGGGAGGTCAAGGCCAAGACAAATGCAAACAAAATAGGCAAAATAAGGATTTATGCTTACCTTCTCAGTTGTTTGAGGACTAGAGGGCAAGGAGTCGCTATTGACCGACTCCGATTTGAGCGAGCCCAGCGAACCGATACCGCTAGATTCACTAGAGACAGATGGACTCGGACTTGTCTGCGATTGAGACAGGCCCGCTATGTCTATGAACGAGCTGAACGAATTAAAATTCTCTGTCTCCAATCCAGTTAGAGGTAGTGCAACACTCAGAGCCATTTCTGCAAATGCAAAACCACAAATGTACTGTAATTACACGTGCATAAACGCCACTTAGTGTTAACATTTATGAGCTATGTTGACAGTATCCAACGCGCCAAATTATTCCGTTCTACACACAAAATATATCCCACTCACCTTTGACTAGAATAGGAATTAAAAATTTCTTAACTACACTGAATAACAATGAATAAAACAATAATTACCGAAAAGCGTAATCTCCAAAAAGTGCAAGCCTCGACGTAGTTAAAAGAGATCGAACATTTATGAAGTGAAGTTAGCTACATTAGTTCGAGTTTGCGTGTGCGTGATGTCTTCTAGCGGCAAGCGGAAATAGATCAATGTCGGTAAAACAGTCTATTACGCAGCAAACAATGAGGAGGTGGCAGAGGTCTAAATAATTACTATTGAATATTTTTGGTGTTAGCAACGTAGATATTTCATTAGCAAAGTTTATATTTCATTATGATAAATAGAATTATATTTTGTAAAAATATGTTGAAGTTTGTATAATATAATTTCTTGTGCTTAGTAGCGCCATCTATCAAAGTGTATTGGTAGTGATATTTTACATTTCTAAAATAAAGCTGCCTACGCGGTATTATAGATAGCAGTATATAAGCACAATTTTTATCGTGATCGTTACAATGATTCATAGATGGCGCTTATAAATATCCACATTATTCTTAGCTCTACGGCGGCGCCCTATAGTCGTCTTAGAATCACAGAATAATAGATGTTGTAGAATTTAGATTATTGTTTTAGTTTCATCTCATAAAATATTTAGTTGTCTTTTGAATATCACTTAACAAATAAAAATAATTCCATCCGTTTCCACAAAGGGTTGTTCAAACAAGGGATTCAAATACTCTATTTGTATCCAGTTTTAAAATATTATATTCGTATGAAAGGTATTCAATTATAATATTATGCGAACGAGCCGATTTCAATGGTGCCGATCACTCACAGACATACCTAAATTTGTACGCCACATATTCCTTGTTTTATAATTTTCGCATAAATGTGAAGCCAAAGACTACAATGTTATATAGGGAATGTGAAGCTTAGGTTAATATGTCATGTTTTTATTTATTTAAGCGTTATTGGTGTGTCTGTAGTGATCGCGTAACTTCTGAAATCTGAACTGAACTGCCCGATCTTTTCCAGTTTTCACAGTTAAGTTAGGATCTGATAGGTGGCGCTGTAATTAAGTTATTAGCAAGTTCTATGTTTTATGGACCAACATAAGTCATAATTACAAGAACTAACTAAGCTGGTGATGCAGTGCCAACAGATCAGTAAGCTGAAGTGGCATCGGTTCGGCCATATAACCAACCCGTTGGCCATATAGTTTGAAGAACCGACAAGCGATGGGGAAGAAAAGGTATTGCAGTCTATTACCAGTAAGTGAAAAGTAGGACAGCCCCCCAATAGATGGAGTGATGACTTAGACATGCTTATATCTACAGGTTTTGTTGCATTCCTTGGGGAACCTGCCGGAGATCCTTTTTTACTGGGCAAGAGGCATTTTATCTTAGTCGGCAGTAGCAGGAGCAGCACAGTAGCAAGAACATTTTGATTCCTAATTGAGGATATAGGTATGTAAATGTTTATGAGCCGCAGCATCTACTTACCATCAGGTGGTCTGTGTGCTCGCTTGTCACCCTTATTCTATAAAAAATATCTATCTCTCCTGCTTATTATATTCACCTAACTCTATCAGAAAAATAAAATTTCGACGTATCTACGGGAAATGATATAAATTAATAAAATATATAATAAGTGTGACACACAGTACTGTGATGTAGTTCGTAGGGATTTTTCTACCTACCAGAAACTACGTTTTTTACGTTAATCAGAATAAAAAATTAAAGTTAGGTACTGCCTACTACGTCCCACAGGTGGGTACAGGCCTCTTTCCATTTCTAAGAGGCTTATTGAGCAATTATTCCGACATGCTAGTCCAGTTTATACCACGTAGTGGCGGTGTAAGAATGTCCATTGTCCACTATCACATATTATCCCGTGGGTGTCGTAAGAGGCGACAGAGGGAAACAAATCAAGAGATGGACAGCAGCGTCATACTAATAACGACTTAAAATTAAATGCAAGCGGTTGCCAACCCGCTAGCCAACCCTGGCAACTATGGCAAATATGCCCCCAATGAGGCAATCTATGGGGGAGGTCTATGTTTCAACAAGAGTGTAGGTAGAGTCAAACTCCACGCAAAATGAAGTTATAGGTGAGTTGTCACTGAGCAGCCTGGGTTCAATCCCCGCGGGCACTAATGAAATTGTTAATTGTTTTAATTTATCACGTACTCGACCATGAAGGATAACATTGGGAGGAAACCTGTATGATGAAACACTGAAAACTAGTCGTTACCGTTACAGCCTATTAAAGTCCACTGTTGAGCATAGGTCCATATAGCCTCTCCCATAGATTGCCTAATAGGGGAATATTTGCCTTAGTTGCCACGCTTGGCAAGCGGGTTGGCAACCGCAGTTTTTTATTTTTAGACGTTATTAATAAATAATATAATATAATAATAAATATTTATTTCATTTCCAATTACATATGTTTACATACAAGTACAAATATAATTACAATTAAATAAAGTAACAATAAGTCTAACAAAAATAACATGCTATGATAAAATTAAAACTATGTGTAGCTTAATAATGTAGAATATACAAAAGAAAAATAGAAAAGTCAAGTTTATAATATTAGCTACCTGCCTGAAATAGGTTGAGTACCTGTGTTTCAGACGTCACTTACACAATGGGTCTTATGATGTAGGACGCTATATTTAAATAATTAAACTATATTAAGTATATAATTTTAATATTAGAAAGACGTAGCTGCTTACGACACCCAGGGTATTGGATATTCGCACATCGCCAGTGTACGGTATTATTTTTATTACATTTATCATACGTAGGTATATTCTCATAACTAGAAAATTATAAAGAATAAAATCAATTTTTAAAATTTGTAGACACTAACTTGCACCTATATAACAGACCACTTATTAAGACTGTAACGACCTAACCAGTTGTGCATTGGTTTCTGGAGAATTGCTGTTATTGTTACACCTGGCAGGCGATTCGCAATCGCAGTAGGTAACCAGACGTCTTGAAATTACTTGATTATCGTATTCCGTTTGAGTAGTTACTATACTATGGATATGGATGATATTCTAGACATTAACAAAAGAACGTGCAGGCTGTCTAAAACGCTTCTCCCTACACCTGTGATATGAGATTGGATGCGATAGTTTCTGTTACCCACAGACAGCCATTTACTAGGTATACTTACATTTTTACACTCCTCGAATGCCAAGCGAGAGAAGCTTCATACTCCACAAGGTCACGTTTATTTTTGATTTACTGAAAAAAAAAAACTAAATATACGTAGTTATTTCGTACTTAGATATACCACATTAGATATATACCTACTTCGCTTACAAATCGTTAGTCGTTTTACACCTACGTTTAATATGAGATCGGTTGATGAATTGCCTTATGTGTAAGACTGTGGCAACGTGAACACTGTAGAGCTCTTGATCACGCTGAACATGACATGCCATTATCAGTGTGGAAGAGCACGTGGGGGGCACGACCACCCTTTTAGTGGCCTCCCCCACCCCCAGGGAAACGTACGCACGTTGAAATATCTAGGCCAAAAACGATGAAATCGAATTTTATAAAAATAAATGAAAGGTAAATAATGGTAAGTAAGTTACTACTAACTTACTAATCTGGACCTGACCACTGTTTTATTCTTCCAAGCAGTAGGTAGATACCTACACGCTCGCTAGACGTTACAAACTTATAAAACCTTATTATTGTTTCAAATGCTAATTTCGTAGAAGTCGTGTTGACATTTTTATATTGTAATTTTTAGTGAGTGAAAGTGTGAAAATATAATAATTAAGAAGATAATCGAAATTATAATTAGATACTATTTTTATAATATTATTATATTTTGTAACGTTTATTATGTTTTCCACTTTATATTAAACGCAAAATCTGTCAAATTGCTTTTCACAAGTCCAACAACGGTGTGATAGCTGTTATCTACATTGTTTGGAAATCCGTAATACTTACGTACCTACAAGTTTAATATTAGGTATAAACGGATATTTATTTGTACCACATAATAACGTTTAACGATGACAAAATTCAGCCTCACCTACATATAGGTACCTATCGACTAATGCTCAGTAAGATGAATACAACTAGTACGCGTGGATCCGACTGAATTAAAAGTTATAAGTGATTGTACTTATAACTTTTAATTCACTCACTGGATACAATCATTGGATTGTGATCTGTATTGAATTAAAAGTTATACAATGATTGTGATATATGATTTTATTGACCGATGGCTTACTTACATCAAAATATTTCGAATTATGTGCCTATATCCATCCATATTATATCTATCAAAACTTAGACCTCTCCCATTGTTTACTCTCATACTGGGATTTTTCCTATAGCTATCACGCTTGGGTTGCAACCCGCAAAGGTTGCAATCAGTTTTTTTTTAAATTATTTTAAGTTATTATCAGAAAGGTGCTGCTCGTCATCTCCTGTTTCAATTTCTTCTGCCACCTCTTAAGACACCCACAGGATGATATGAGGTAGTGGATTCTATTAAGCTGCCAATATCTACATCTTAATTCATGATGAAAAATTAATAAAATATGGTGGAAGAAGAAAGCTATAATACATAGAATATGAAGATATGTAATAAATAGGTTACTTTATAACCATTCTTATTTAAGAGAAACTATTCGGAAGAGTGAAAGTTTAGGTCCTGAAAGATCAGTCTCGGCCGCCGTCAGCCCGAACCATCGCGGCGGTTTCGATTCGCATCCACATAATTTGCAAATCTTATATTGCCACTTAGAGCGTTCGTTCAATAAAATAATAATAGTAAACATCCGTGCAAATGGCCGGCGGGCGGCGCCCGAGCGGCGGGGGCGCGGGGGCGTAGGGAAGGAGGGGGGGGGGAGCGCTTATCGATTCGCGCCCGCGCGACACACTGTATCTATCCTCTCATCGATGCCCGCTCGCTGGCCTCACAAAGAAAGAGATAGGTTTCGCCGACTTTGATCCTTTTGTTTTTGGGCAGCGTCCGGCGATGCGGGCGGGGGCTGAAAAATGTGAAGGGGCGCTGATTGGCCGCGCCGGGCCCGCCCCGCGCCCGCCCGCAGCCTCCGCGAAAGCCTCCGAGCGCGCTCAGTTCAAGGGCGGTTGCGACGCCGC